GTCCACCCTCTGCCCTCATCCCTGCTCTAGGGCTGGGGATTGAATGGTGAACATGGAGGAACATAATCTCTCACCTGGAGGTCTAAAAGGCAGCTCAAAATAAGGTCCCAATTTTCAGCGGCCGGCCCGTGGCTCACTCAGGAGAGTGTGGTGCTGATAACACCAAGGCAACGGGTTCGGATCCCATATACGGATGGTCGGTTAGCTCACTGGCTGAGCGTGGTGCTGACAACACCAAGCCAAGGATTAAGATCCCCTTACTGGTCATCTTTTTAAAAAAAAAGGTCCCGATTTTCATATTCCACCTGCTCCTTCTTGAGTCTTCCCCATTCAGTACCTGACCCACCCATCCAAGCTACTTGCAAAAGTCATCCTGATTCCTCGCTCTGTCTCCCACATCTGATCCCACAAGGTATGTGGGCTCTGCTGCCACACATCTCCACTCTGCCCACCAGAATCATCTCTCCCAGTCCTGGGGTCTCCTGGCCTGCATCCTTGCCACCATATCCACCTTCTGAGCTGCAGCCAGAGCAATCTTTTTAAGACAAATCACATCACTCCTCCGATTTATCCCCTCAATGTCTTTCTATCTATTGCACTTTTTTTTTTTTTTTATCCTTTTTGTCTTTTTTCGTGTCCGGCAACGGACCGCAACCCTCAGTGTCGCGCCCGTACCGGACCAGGACCAGCAACGGGATTGCAACCCTCGGTGCTGCGCCCGCCCCTCGCTCAGCCAGTGAACGGGAACCGGTCTGTACGTGGGATCCGAACCCTCGGCGGGAGCGCCACCACGCTCTCAAGCGGCGCACTGTAGCAGTGCGCCACCGGGCCGGCCCTCTATTGCACTTTTTAAGAAAATCCAAAACTGTGCCATGGCTTCAAAGCCCTGGCTGACCTGGCCATGCCCTCCTATCTGACCTCACCTCTTACCAACCCCCCCACACTTACTCACTTTGCTCCAACCACTCTTGCTCCCTTGCTTGTTCCCACCTCAGGACCTTTGCCCTACCTGTTCCCTCCATCTGAACACTCTTTCCTCAGATCCTCCCTTGACTGCCTCCTCTTTAGGCTCTGAAATGTCTTCCCTGACCTCTCTGTCTGAATGGTGCTACTCTCAGTTCTTGTTCACTTGTTTTAATTTGTTCATAGCATTTACCATTCCTTGAAATTACCAATTCATTTATCAGTTTGCTTGTTCTACCTGCATACAGTATGTGCTCAATAGATACTTGCTGAATGAACAAGATCACATAGGATGCCATGTAGGGGTATGTTCCCCAGACATGACATCAGGGAAGGCTTTCCAGAGAAAGGAAGTTTAAGCTGAGACGGCAGGGTCTGCAACAAAGGAGTTGTCCAGGAAGGGAAAGACTAGTCCAGGCAGAGGGACCAAGGGAAAAAAGAAAAAAAGGATGTGGGAAGGTCCAAAAGCATGAAGTGTTCTGGAAACTTTAAATTGTCCAATTTGCCTGGAGCAGAAGATTGGGGGGCAGGGGTGGAGATCAGAGGAGTTGGAGGTGCTGCAGGCAGGCCGTGCAGGACCTTGTTGCCCCTGACAGGTTTGAATCTATACTGAGGGCAATGGGCAGCCCCTGAAGGTGTTACATCAGGTGTTTCAGAAAGGGCTGCTGAGTGCAAATGGTTTCCAAGGAGATAGCCTGGAGAGGAGGGCACCTGGCGGTGCACTGGCCCAGGTGAATGATGCTAATGCCCTGAGCCAGGCAAGCGGCAGTACAGAAGAAAGAGGTGGTCATGTGCAGAAGCCGTGGATGAGGCAACCTGGCCAGGATGAGGTGAGGGAGTTGGTGATGGAGACAGAGCGATCGCAATCCTCAGCTCTCCACCGTAAGGGACTGGGAGGGCAGAGGTGACTTTCCCTAGAATGGGAGGGAGCAGGTTTGGGGGAAAGATTAGGGTTCTGTTTTGGACAGGTGGAGTTTGAGTCCAGGTGGGCAGTTGAGATACATGTCATAGGGCTGGCCCATGGCTCACTCGGGAGAGTGTGGTGCTGATAACACCAAGGCCATGGGTTTGGATCCCTATATAGGGATGGCCGGTTCGCTCATTGGCTGAGCATGGTGCTGACAACACCAAGCCAAGGATTAAGATCCCTTTACCCGTCATCTTTAAAAAAAAAAAAGAGAGAGGGCCGGCCCGGTGGCGCACTGGAGAGTGCACTGCTTGGGAGCGCGGCGGCGCTCCTGCCGAGGGTTCGGATCCCATGTGGAGACCGGTTCCCGCTCACTGGCTGAGCGCGGTGCGGGCGCAACACCGAGGGTTGCGATCCCGTTACCGGTCAGTAAAAAAGACAAAAAGGAAAAAAAAAAAAAAAAGAGAGAGAGAGACATACATGTCATGTTTCCAGAAAGAGAGAGTGGCCTCTGAAGGAAGGCTGAGCCCTCTTGAATGAGGGATGAGGAGGAAGTGTCCACCAGAGGGGGAGTGACTGGAGGACGCTGGTCTCGCAGGAACAGCTTGTCTGGAGCAGCCCTGACATGTGTCAGGCAGTGAAGGGAAGGAAGTTTGGAAGTGTGAGGGAGCAATGTACAGATTCTCTGTTCAAGAGGTTCGGAAGGAGAGAGTTAGGGGCTCAGCTGAAGGCCATGCAGGTGCCTGGGGTTTTTCTTATTTTATGTTGGGGGAGATTCAATTCCTTTGGGATGTGGAAGGAAGGATTCATTAGAAAGGGAGGTTAGGGGGCCGGCCCGTGGCTCACTCGGGAGAGTGCGGTGCTGATAACACCAAGGCCCCGGGTTCGGATCCCACATAGGGATGGCCGGTTCGCTCACTGGGTGAGCGTGGTGCTGACAACACCAAGTCAAGGGTTAAGATCCCCTTACCGGTCATCTTTTAAAAAAAAAAAAGAAAGGGAGGTTAGGGATACAGGAAGGACAAAGGGACACGGGCACAGTATGGGGCGTGGAGGCCAGGGGTGGGTCTGTTGTGAGGAGGTGGTGCCACTTCCTTTGTAACAGGCAGGAAGAACAGGGGCTGGCTGGGG